GGCCTCCAAATAATAACTGCCAAATCTAAAAAAGATAAAAGGGAACTAAGCTTTTATAGAACTCTTTGGGTCATAATGATTGCAAAGCTCTACTAAGAAGAAGAATCCTTGGACATCAATGTCGGCAACAAAATTTAGTCAGAAATTCTATGAAGCTTGCATATGCATTTAGTAAGACCAAATGCAACACCATCAAACTGAAAATTATTTCAAACGCCAAACTAAGCATGTTAAATAAATAGTCCAATCTGAAGCCCTCCGAAAGATAGAAAAGAATGACTCAAAGTTGTACAAAAGTGGATGGAATTTTGAGCAAGTTTCTAACTCTGATGTCAAATAGCACAAACCTATGTAAATGCCCATGAAACTATAAGGCTATATCACACTCCCTTTCTTGTTAACCACGAAACAAATTATCACTTATGCTAAATATGTTAAACATGTGATTTAGGGCCGTTCTAATTTTGTAAATGCCCATGAAACTATAAGCCTGGATATAGGGAAGCCCAAAAAGTCAGCAATCCATCAGATTGATTTACTATTAGACATCAAATAGTAAATGTTAGAATAAGTTAATCTAGCAGTCATATTGTGGCAAATAGTTTCAACATGTATGGCAATAGGAAAGCAAGGACCAAGAAGAGTGAATCTTGCTCAAAACAAAAGATAAAAAGGAAGTTGTTTCTCCTCTCTTTTGGAAATTGATCTAATTGTCCACAATCAAACTTCATGTACCGCTAATTCTTAAGTCAATGCTACGTAGTTCCACATTAGTCATCTTTCACAAATTCTTAAGCTTAAAACATTTTCCAACATTCACCCAAAAATCCTTTTGACTTTGTCATTGAACTATTTCTAAACCTCAAATGAGAAGCCTTTAATTGTTTCATTCTTAAGGCATCCTTTCAACTTATTTTATTCTTTAAATCCTCTATCTCTCTCTCTGAGCAGGCTTCTATTTCTAATATCTTATCTCTAAAGCATTTATGCGTGGAGTTGATTATGAATCCCCATCATGCTTAATGCTTATAATTGAATGTAGTTACTTCTAAACAATATTATGTTTAAGAATACTATGGAGCTCTTCACATTGCTTAGTCTGTGTATAATGCAAACAAATTGAGAAAATTGGCATACTACTGCTGCTATGGGCAACAGAATTAGTCTATGTGGAGTGTGTACTCCAAAATATATTTGGTATTGACCAAACCTAATTCTGCATACAAAAGAAAGCCTAGCTTTATATATTTTTTGCAATTTGATTGAAGTGCTGCAGAATGTATTGGATTTTTTGTACAGAATCAAGAGTTTATATTTTTTTGCATCAATACATGTCTCCCAATTTTATTAAAAAAGGAGTACCTTATTTTTGCATACAATAGTCTGTAATCACCAAATTCATCTCAATTTCCTGAAACAATGACAAACATTAATCATTTGTATAGAGGAATAGATGCATCAAACAACGAACACATAGAATGAGGGTTTGTTTAAAAGAATGTAAATTTTCAGTTGCACTTTGTATTTCAAACAAATTGTTTCTCAAAGCAAGATTGTTGCTTCCTCATCATAGTATGTGTTACTGCTTTAAAACTCCATAAACAGATAAAAACAATCATAATCACTCATCCCTCAATACTTTTAAAGTTTATACTAATAAACAAAACTGCTAGTCTGCTGCTACTTGTCAATTGCAACAATTGGTGCCTAATTAGAGATGTAACTTCATCTTTCTTATTACTAATTATTTTACTTTCTTTTTCATATATCTTCTTTCGTTTCTCTATATTTCCTACATTTAAAATGAATCAGAAAACTTCCAACTTCATTAACCTCCTAACTTTTCCGGACTTTTTGACATTAATGATTTGTTTAGAATTGCCTCTATGAGGGTAAAAATTAGTTAATACTACTGAATTTTCCTCTCCAATTTCATAAGACCCGCCCAATTAACAAATTTCCCTTTTTCTTTTTTTCTCTAACAATCAAGCAATTTCAATTGATTCAACAATATTATTAGCAACTTCCTCAGGGTGAAAGACTGATCAAGCATACAAATGCATCATAAACCCACCAATTTATAATCAATTGCAGATAAATCCAAACTTTTTCACATAAACAGCTAGATACTTCAATCATCACTTGATGAGAACCAAAAAAATGCAAAATTAACATTTTTAATAGAGAAAAATTCAGCAGCAACTAAACCCATCACAATAATCATCAAAATTAAGGGGTTTTAAGCACATTACCCTGCGTGGCAGAAGTCGTAATTGGAACCCTATACTTCGATTCTGAATCGGACCCCAAGAATCCTACTCTAATCCCTCAGTAAAGCTTATAGAGGAAGAAAGAGGGAGGATAGAGAAGAAAGGGAGAGATGATTGGAGAGAGAGAGAAGACAACAACATCCTCGCTGAGGAAGACGGTGATGTCGATGCCGATGGCGACGCCGACGGGATTGAAGTGCTGCCGCTGGAGGAACTTAGGGTTAGGGCTTCTGGCCTTGGAATCCTCTAGCAAAGCGGCGAGGATGCCGAAGTTGCACTTCCGATGGAACAGCGAGCGCGGCGATCTGCTTGTGCAGGAGTTAGGGCTAGGGTTTAGAGGGGAATGGTGGTGGATAGAGGTGCTAGGGCTTGGGCTTGGGCTAGGGTTAGGGTTAGGGTTTGGATCTGCTCGAGCTCGAAGTCGGCGTCGCCTTCTTCGGAGGTGGAGGAGGGAGTGGAGGAGGAGAGGAGACGGAGGAATCGTTGGGATTCTGGAGATGAGTAGCGGGGTGAGAAGAGAGGACCACAATTTCAGTGTAGGGCTTTGTACTCATTGATGTCGTTATTGAATTCTTCATGCAGAGTCCAATCATGTTTTTCTTTACCATCAATGCAATCTCGAACTCGTCCCGGTTTCTGATGCTTCATAGCCAATGCAAGTCGGTCCTTGTGGGTCTTAATTTGAGTTCGGGTAATAGGGGCTTCATCACTTACAATCGGATTGGAAACAAAGCTCTAATACCAATTAACGTAGCACGGAAGTCAAAAGCCTTGGAATCCACCATGAGGTGTTACTTGAATCCACAAAGAATAATTTTGAATTCACAAAGAGACAACCTTGAATCCACAAAGTAAAAAAAAAAAAATTATTGATAGAAAATTATCTGATAATTCTAGGGTTGCATCTATCTTCTTACATAGAAAAATAAATAGTTCCTAATAATTACAAAGAAATAGAAAGTACTAAATTGTACTCTAAAAGATTCTCTTTAATAGAGGAAACAAATCGGTCCAACATGAATCAAAATTGAATTTATTTCCTAATCAAAATTAAATTAGCTCGATAGTCCCGCTCTGTGAATTTGTCCGTTACGCGTCAGCGTCGTACATCATATACTTTAACTTAATTCACCTCTGATGGAACACAGGTTATCTGACAGGTGTCGAGTATGAGCAATTAGGTTGTTTTGGTTAGACCCGCAAGTATGATAAACACGCAAGTATGGTAAACACACACAAGTCCATGCTGTTTACAAGGCCAACAAGGGAGAGGAAGGAGAACCATAGCAAGAGATTGTAGGTAGGTTATATGGGAAATAGTTAAGTTAGGTTATATGGTAAATAATTAAGTTCACCAATATCGATGAGGACAGTAAAATAAAGAGTAATGGATGAAACTGCTTCTTAGGCCATGAGGACCCGATATTTTGCATCAGTAAAGTTTTCTCTACATAGCTTAAAAAAAGAGCAACAGTACTTGTGAGGGAAAAACATTTCAAGAACCAAAAGTGGGACTAGTGTTGATGGTAGAAGCTCAATTGATGATGTAAAGTGCATAAAGATCTGGCTAGCATGTAAACCAAGCAGTCTCAAGATGGTGCAAGGTCATGATAGAAGAGTTCATTCTAAGTGGTTGAAACTGAGTAACATATCAATGCTTTCGTAGTATTTATTAGTATTAGGTGCAATCAGGTGAATCCTCAAAATTCTGACTTGGATGTCTTGGTACCTTTGCTTTCCCTCAGCACTTCTTGAAGTTAACCTGGGAAATCCTTAAAAAGGTAAAAATCTTAAAAAGAACTGATAGTTTTCTGCTTTAAATGGATGTTCACAAGCTGCCCCCTGATAGGCCATAATTTCAACAAATTTACAAAGCAAGAGAAGTGAAAAAATCGGCTCAATGATTCTTCAATACAGTAAGGACATCTAAGAGAGACTGTAGTCTTTATAGCGCATAAAGCAGCCAGGTGGCTTGGATGTAGGAGGCATCAAACTCCTCATTTATAAAATTTGGAGTTTAAAGATGCTCTATGGATGCCAACAAAATATGAAAATAAAAATAAAAATAATAAAAAATTGAAGTGTTCTTCAGCTTATCTTTTTTTCAGAAAAGTGGGAAAAGTTGTAATTGGTCAAGGTCCAACATTCCAGAGAGGATTCTTATAGTTGATCATTGCATGTAATATTGTTGTTAATTTAAATGGGAGATCTGCATTCAAGTTTGAAAGTTAGGGACCCACCCACGAAGGATAGATTTCCTATACTAGAGTCTCCTACTACCTGTCCATGTTTTCTTCAATGTTAAAGGAGCATAAGCTTATTAAATTCCTATCTGAACTTCGACATGTAGGTTTGTTGATGTCCAGCTTATGTAGCCTTGCTGCTATGGAATGATATATTTTCTTCCTTTCCTTCCTCTTCTCATTTTCCTTCTTTTATTATTATTTTTTTATAGAAGTTGATTTACATATCTTGTGTCCTGGCACAAAAGCCAAACTAAGATGGACGTATGTTAAGAGCTAATATGCTAGCGGTTCATAATTGCCTGATCTCAGGCTTCTAGCAAGTCTTCATCATTAGACTCATAAAGTATTTACCAGAAATTCCGAAAAATTTAGGAATTATGTTTTAAGAGAAATCAGCCAAAATAAATGTAGGCATTATTAATCTTCTTTATGAATTACATTGGTCAGTACAGCTGTAATTATCTGCTAACCAATTGCAAAACAGATGCTTGTATCTCTTGGAAGTGGACCAATTGACCAGTTATTTGGAGGTGGTAATTCACCGGCCTTTGCAGTAGCAGCAATTGCTTCTTTTCTCAGTGGGCTTGTGGCAATAATTGGTCTTCCCCGACCTTCTACGACAAGGACAAGGGAAAGGACAAGGGATCGCAGATGAGGTACTACCAGATATTTTGTGTTCTTCTACATTCATATTTATGTCATTTATCTATGCTTTTTCTGAGCACCTATTTCACAGTAAAAGTATGTGAATTGTATTTTTTTGGGATTAATAAATTTAAGCATATTCGTTTATTTGGTTTCTCTGAATTTTTTTTTTGAACTTATTGCTTGGAGCTGTCAAATAGGCTTATACCTTTTTCTTGTTTCATGATGTATCCCTAGAGCACCAATCTGACTTAACAGTTAGAACTATGAAGGACATAGATAAATTTGATGGGCATGCATTGGAGATTTGCTTGCATGGTCATGGTTGTGAGACACAATGCATGCAATGAAACTGAGTATATAAGTTTGAATCTTTTTTCGATCACTTCTCACTACAGATAATGGAGGCCCTCTGTGTGTCACACTGACATCCTTTACAAACAGTTGCACATAAATTGCATTGCTCATGTATACTGCTCGATGGCTTTGAGGTTTGTGAGGCGAGCAGCTTTGCCTATGCATTTTTACAGCAGAAATAAATGTCTTTGGGAGGATGTTTTTGCCATTTTATAATCCAAGAAGTAGCTGCATTCAACTCCAAAATATTTACCATTAAACTGTTTTTCTTTAATAGCAGACTGATAACACCTCATGTCCACCATGAAACACTGTTTTACAGTGTATATGATCACATTTAAGTTTCATGTAGGATTCACATGCTTAAAACTGATGTACAGTGAACGGGTATGTTAGGGATCATCAGAACCAAGCGATCTTACATATTAGGCAAGTTCTAGAAGTTGGAGACAGTATTAGATGCATATTTCTGTTCTGAACTTTAAAGCATCGAAACCTCCCAATTGAGTTGTGTGCATATGTGAAGAAGAATAATACATTTCCCATTCAGAAGATAGCTTAGTAGCATTGCTTTGTCAATCAATTTTCTAAGGTCTTTGGTTCTATTTGTATTTGCTTGAATCATTTCCATATAGCTATTGTGCTTGTTGATAGTGATTTTTGGATAGGGAATTTGATGGCCATAAGGAAAATGAGAATATAATGAAGTGGTTAATTTGTTTGATAGGGACATTCTCTGTGCTTAGTTGCTATGAACTTTGATTTTTGCGCTTTTTCATGTCTTTGTATCAGCATTTTGGATAACATTCCTGGAAATTATCTTGAGATTCAGCAGAAGAATTCCAGTGGTGCTGCTGATAGGTGTTATAACGCCTCTTTCCTCTTCTGCTGTTCTTCCAAGGGATTTGGCAAGTTTCCTTGTTACAGCTAACTCTTGATTGAGTTTTAAATACGGTGAATTGATTTGTTGTACTTTTACCATTCACAAAGTAGTGTTCATATTACATCAGTTGGTTCTTCAAACAAACTGCATTTGATTCTTTGGCTTGGAACTAGCCTTTTGGGATTACATCTTTATATTCTTTATATTCTTCTCTTTCTGCTGAGGAGTCAATGTTCGCGGTATTTCACAGTTGTTTGTAATATCTCTTTGGGTAGCATCTTTCAATTACACATGCTTTTTTGTTGTGATTTTATTCTTAAAATTTGCACGTATGAAAGTTTTAGTAGAAGAATTAAAATCATTTATCTATTAGGTAAGACATTTTTTTCTTTGCAATATTTAGCTTTTCTATTTACATTGCTGGTGATGGTTAATGTACGTCCTCTATGAATAGAGTATGGATGTTGTGTACATATATCACAGATTTGAAATAGGTTTCAAGATTTAAATTTGCCTTACACCTCATTTCACTTATCTCATGCCTGGTGGATGATTTGTTTTTCTTTGGACTGTTCACAAAATCGTGATTTAAGACTAGTTTCTCATCAACAATCTATCTTATTACATGTTCCACGTTCATCTTATGCTGTCACACGAAAATATAGGAGTCACACGAAAACATAGGAGAGCACTGAGGGGCTGTTTGGTTAGTTTCTTAAGAGTTAAGAAAAAGAAATGGAAACAAAAAAGCAGCATGACAGGACAATGTAGAGTCCACTTAAGCCCATTGTTGTGCTTTTTGATAGGAATTGTGTTTTCATATTTTTTAGGTTCACTTACCTATTCACATCTCTGTATAATTATGATGCCTATGTTGCTTTCCCTTTTTTTTTCATTTGAACCAAACAAGAGAAGTGGAAACAATTTCAAAAAATAATTTCCTAAAATTGCTTTCCACAAATTCTATCACATCCGCACAGCCCTGAAAAGGTAGATATTTATACGAGAATTTTCAAATGTGCTTAAGATGTGGATTGTTCATATGGAACTGGAACCCTATACCCCTTAAGATTCAAAAACATCTATGCTTGTATTATATAGATAGGCTAAATTGCCATATTCGTATTTTTTACGCCCCTGTTACCGGATTGATAGCTTTGGTGATGTTTTGATTGTTTTTTTCCTAAGCCAAATGTGCAGTTGGACCCAAAACATCAATTGTGACAAAAAAGCTGGGAAACCTCTATTTTCCGGCAATTTTGGACCTCTCAAGCTTTTCCTTCTCTATATTTGAGGTAATACCATGTCCTTTCTTGTTTTCCTCAAATTTTACTTGTAGTGGACTCGACCTTCTTGCATAGGCTTGGGCGTAGTTGTTATTCTTATATCACTGTGCCAAATAATCTTCTGGCACTTTCCTCATGAATATACGATAGCACTATTCACATCAAGTAAAAATTTCAAGGCTTTTTTCGTCGGTGGCGAAGTTTTGGGTCGAATTGAACATTTGGCTAAGAAAATAATGCCAAAATGTCGTCGAGAATAGAAAAAAAAAAATACCAAATTGATAATAGGAGTGTACAAAAATACCAATCTAGTAATTTAGCCTATATAGTTATTTTTATGTCAGAGAGTTAATTATATGAATGAGAGAATATTGGAGGAGTTTAGGGTCTATTTATCTTCTCTAATGATTGATTAATTTGAGGGAATTTGAAGTGAGCAGATCCATGCACAGGCAATACATGTTAGAGGCCTAAATAATGCTCAAGTCAGTGGTAGATAAAGCAAACTGTAAGAATGTAGAATCTAGTTTTGGCTTGCAACCCTCTTTGGCTCGCAATGGGGATTGGATTTCGTTGATCTGCCAGTACAAATCGTTGGTGCTCCAGTTACGTCTCGCTGAATGGTCAAAAGCATATGACATCTCCAGTGCTTTCATGTTGTTACGCTTGTCAATGCCATCCACCACCATTGGGGTGATTTGGTGCCACGTGTTAGTGTCATCTCGATTATGTCTTCGTTTGCCTCTGCATCCTTTTCTCCAACAGGTATTTCAAGCACTTGGAATATCGTTGGTGCAGTTGAAGCTCAATTTAGTGGTTCTCGTAGTCGCCTTCCTCATCATCTGTCTATGGTTGAATGTCAAGCCAACCGTAGGAATCCTGAGTCGACTAATGTGCACCAAGGCTGGCAGGGGTGAGGGGCATTTTTATTTCTAGTCGGTCGGCGGTTTTCAATTAGTCTTGAATATCAGTGACACCAATAAGAAATGAAGAGAAAGGTTCTTCCATCTTTGGCGCCAACCTAATACTGGCCTACCCTAGATGGTTGGAGATCATGCAGGAGGGTTTGAAGGAGGTGAAATTCTTCGAGGTAGAGAGGCAAGGCTTGGAGAAGATCCGAGCCGATGAGGGGTCTCATCGATGTGATGATTTCTTTGATAATGTCGTGCTTTGGGCTATCGGCATCTCCTTTACATCGTCTACGGAGGAGGATCTTTCTCATACTGCACTTTTGGCTCTTGAAGTGTAGTTAGAAGAGGCCCCTCGTGGGCTTATCTTTGGGACGTTGAACGTGCCTATGTGTCGAATTGGCAGAGAAGGAGGTCCAGGCTCTTCACGAGGATCTAGCTGAGCTTGCGAACAGACTAGGCTTGGATTTGACTATATACACTTCCCAGATTTAGAAGTCTGAGAAGAGGAAGAGAAAGAAGACCGTCACCAAGGGCCATCACCAAGTTAAGGGTGGTATGTGGTACTTTTTTGTTCTCAAGGATAAGACCGCTGAGCCTGTGCTTGGGTTTACTGGTGGAGTTCCGACTTCAGTGGTTCCTCCTCCTGAGGTCATTGACATGGGTGCTGAATCCCCACGGTTGGCTATTGAGGGAGAGGAGGTTGTCAAGGGGGTTCAACATGTTCAAAGTCGGCGGGAGTTAGGATCCTAACCGAAGGTGAAGCTAGCACTACAATGCAGGTTGATTCCCCTGCTTTGGAGTTAGCGGGAGTTGGGATCCCGACTGAAGGTGAAACTAGAACTACCACACAGGCCAAAGCAAATGAGGCTCTTGAGTCTTCGAGAAGGTCTAGGAAGGAGCCGGTAACTGAGAAGGAACTAGTCACTAGAGAGGAGCCGACTGTTGTGGAGGGGTCGACTCCTCTTGAGGCTCCTCGGGGCGGTCAGTTCCAGTAGCCTTTCGCTATAGCATTAGCGAACTCTCTCCTTCTAAATGGGATACGTTAAGGATAACACTTATTGGGTTAGCTAAGGTTGGCCCTCGACATGAGAGGGAGCCAATAGACAACTCTATTTTTATATCGGGTTGCTGGTCAGATTTGAGAGCGTCAGTCCTAGAATCCAGGTCCGACCAAGCCTGAGTAGTTGAGCAAATTTTTCTCCCCAATGACCAAGTTCTTCTAAGCAAGGTACCTAATGTTAGCCTTCATAAGTTCCTCCGAATCTATCTTACTAGAGGTCTGCTTGTGGAGACCGAGTTGTTTCGCATGTATGAGTCAGCTCATGAGCTTTTCTTCAAGCTTCGGGAGGAGATGCTGGCTTACTGGGACGCTCATGACTCGGCCAAGGTGACGGCCGCCTAAAATGGAGTGAGTTGGATTAGCTCAAGGAAGATGGGAGGAGATGGAGCACGAGCTGGCCTCACGGGCTGATAAGATCAAGGCTGCTATTGATCTCTCCCGACATCAAGTTGCCCTACTTGCTCAAGATCAGACGAAAATGCAAAACATGCAGGAGGAGCTCAATCAGGCTCATCTTGGTTTGGGCATCGCCAATGAGCAGATCAAATATCTCGAGTCGGAAGTCAAGGCAGAGAAGAGGGAGAGAGAGGATGCTTATGAGTGGGCCCAGGTGGCTCGGCTCGAGGCAGAGGACTCGAAGGTGAGGTTGCAGGAGGAGGCGCTCTTTAGGACTCTTTGAAATGATGTTGCCCAGTCGACTCAAAGGGCTGAGCAACAACGTAATTCTCTCCTCGACCAAATCTGACACCTTCACAAATGTCTGGTGTTCTAAGAGTCGAGTGCCTTTGAAGATCAAGTGATCAAGAAGTACTGTACTGGTGCTCTCGGAAAAGTAGATGTTGCTCTTGCTTGTAAGGCGGGTTTTGATCATCTGATGAAGTAGCTCCCTTAAGAGCTTAAAATAAATCCCGACCGATTTAAGTACCTCTCTAGAGTGAGGGTTTGCGACGTCCTTAAGATGCTCGAAGTGGATGGCAGACTGGGAGTGGCGGAGGATATTGAGGAGGCAGACAACGAATCAAATGAGGGTTTGGTCGAGGTGGGCTCCAGTGAAGAATTCAGCTCGCCTTCATCACCTGACTTACAGGGACCTCATCCTCTACTACTGTTCCATGATTTTCTTTTTTCTTTTCCCCTTTTTGGTAACCGAGTCATTGTAAAAAGTCTTGTAAAAATTTTTGTAAATCCATGAAAAAGGCTAATTTTATATGACTCGAATATTTTTTGCGATTTTACTTTGAATTATTCCTCGTTGTGTGCCTTGGGTTATTCTTGAAGATTGATATCAAGGGCTTTGACCCACCTTTGGACGAGTCAATGAAGAGCGAGTCACAAGGGATTTCGTTGTGCCTTGGATCTACTCTTGAAAATCGATACCATGGTCTTTAAGTGCATCGAACGAGTCGGTGAAGATCGAATCACAAGGTTAGTGCTGTGGGTTTACTCTTAAAAATTGATACCAAGATATTTAGGTGCATTAGACGAGTCGGTGAAAACCGAGTCACAAGATTAGTGCCTTGTGTTTACTCTTGAAAAATGATACTAAGGTCTTTAGGTGCCTTGGACGAGTCAGTGAAGATCGAGACGCAAGGTTAGTGACTTTTACTCTTGAGAACTGATACTAAGGTCTTTAGATGCCAAGTAGGTGAAGACCGAGTTGCAAGGTTAGTGCCTTGGTTTTACTCTTAAAAACTGATAATAAGGTCTTTAGCTTCTTTGCATCAAATTGTGGAGAAAGATAAGATAACTTTTCTTTAATATTGAATGAAACACTTCTTGACGTGTTCTACATTCCACTGATGCTCTAAGATTTTTCCCATCTTGATTCTGCAACTAGTAACTTTCTCGCAGGGTTGGGGGGCTTGTCTTATGATCTTGTAGGGTACCTCCCAGTTGCCTGTGAGCTTTTCGCTATTTGTTTATTTATTGAAGATGGTCTTCCGAAACTAGATCTCCTATTTTGAACCTTTGCGTCGAACTCAACTGTTGCACTGTCGGACGATGTGTTATTGACTAATTATTAGAGATCAAAG